GACCTTCAGCTGTTACCAAATTTACCTTCTCCTGGCTTTGCTCCAGGACTTCAGATCTTATTTTCTTACCATGGTGCCTATGTCCTAGCATTAAAAAATAGAATCCTTCGAAGAGACACTAACAATAGGAAAACATTGGAAGAAAAGAAATGTAATAAGCAAATCACCGATACTCTGAGGCACATACACAATTCGGAAGAAATGAGGACGTTTATGTGCCATCGGCTTCTGGTGGTGATTACCTCTTTTCAGTGCTTCAGTTTCTGCCTCCCCCAATAACCCCAATTTATAATTAACTCTGGGAGGATAAGGAATTTGTCATCTTCTCTATCGTTTTTTAATTAATTCTCCAAATTTAGCCCAATACTGAATCACAGTGAATGGATGCTTAATAAACATTTGCTGAATGAATAAATGACACCATCATAGGACTTGCAGCAATAATAAAGGGCAATTTGAGTGAAAATGTGAAGTTTTGAATCAAAGAGTGAAATGACCCACACATTGACCTTAACTAAAATGGTTAGTTTAAATTTGTTAACTACTTTACAGTCTTCAAAAACATAGAGACACCTTCAGGTAACAAATATCATATCTTTTATTATCAAGAGCAAATAGTGTGTATTAGCCTTCCAAACATATACGTTTATGATGACACTATTTGGTTACTATTCCAGGTAATTTTCTTAAAATTTAAATTGTGAATTTAAAGGGGTATTACTCTCCCTATTTAAATGCTGAACAGCAACAATAATCATTCACCTGATTTCATGTCCCAATTTGAAAATTTCTTACTTGTTTATCAATGGGCAATTCACTTAAAAAATTACAAAAATACTATCTTCTATTTGAATCTCAATAGCAACAAACAATGTCATATTTAAACCGTTGTGACTTAAATAAGAACGTCATTCTCCCAAAATTGGCATACTTTGAATTACCAAATAAGACACATACATTTATTAAAAATATTTTGAATTATTAGATTTTATTTCTAAAATTAAGTTACCCTTCCATATAAAAATATGTTTGCTTCAAATTTTGAAAAGTGATTTGAAAAATCAAGAGATACAGCACTTAGTACTTATAGGTGATTTCTGTATCACATAACTCTATTAATGCATAACCAGAAGAAATACAATGAAGGTTTTTCACTGAGCATTGAGTACTGTAATTTGAAAATAATAAACTAATAATGTTCTGGTCTCACAGTGCATTTGAGGATTCAGAATGTTTCTTTTTTTAGGAACTTCAGAAGCAGGAGGCAAAAGATGGCAGCAGTGAGTCGTTCCAAGAGCTAACATTACACATGATCATTTTGCTTTTATTTTTCAATATTATCTAATTGTGAATTTAATAATATCTTAAGTTACAAATTATTCTAGAACAATAAAAATCATGAATGATTCAATGAAATGGGGGCACTGAGCAAATTAAATCAAAGCAGTCCAGGACATTATACGTTACCACTCTGCTTCCTAAATAACCCCATCACACCCGACCAGGCCCCAACAGTATCTGTAGGGACTGCCTGCAGTGCATTTCCCAGGCTTACAATTAGTTGATAGGATGTGCCATTGCTCATCTCAAAAATAACTGAAAAAAAACTTCACGAAATTATTTTCTTTACTTAGATCTCTATTAGGCATAAAAGACATATATTTTCTGTGAATAGAATCTACACATCTACGTCAATATATATATTTTTTGAGACGGAGTCTTACTCTGTTGTCAGGCTGGAGTGCAGTGGGGTGATCTCGGCTCACTGCAATCTCTGCCTCCCAGGTTCAAGTGATTCCTCTGCCTTAGCCTCCCCGGTAGCTGGGACTGTAGGTGTGTACCACCACACCCGGCTAATTTTTTGTATTTTAGTAGAGATGGGGTTTCACCATGTTGGCCAGGATGGTCTCGATCTCTTACCCTCGTGATCTGCCCACCTCGGCCTCCCAAAGTGTGTGAGGCACTGCACCCGGCTGTCAATTTTAATCTAAAGAGTAACTGATGTCCCCTCATCTCCCTTCCCACTTCTCCACTGACTTCTTGAGTTAGATAATGCAAAGAGAAAACCAAACAATAGCAGACTGACGGAAGCTCAGGTGAGAATCCAGAACATCTCTTGAAATACAATGTGACCTAATGGATATGGTGCTGCTAATTTGTCTTGTACCAAGTACTCAATGTAATTGAACTGCTTTTCTGAGAACTAAGATAAAAATTACAGTTAAGCCTGTGCTGAAAAAAAAAAAAAAAGGTCTTGCATATCTTCCTTCACAAGACTCAGGACATTTTAATATCAAACTGGCTTTAACACTTGGAGCCAGCTTGGAGAACTGCTTTTGCAAATGACACCAAGCCTATGTGTGCATGTCCACACCTGGCGTAGGAGGAATGAAAGTGAACATTTGTACTGCTGTCAACAATCCTTGCTTAATCTGCTCCTCTCAACAATTATTTGTTACCTATTTAACCTCTGTATGACTTTTCTCCCTTAAGATCCATTTATATTTCCACTTACTCCCAAGTATGATACAGAATAGACTTGAATATTCAAATCATTTAAGTTTGTTGGATAATCTATTCCAACACAAAATAGAAGCATAATGTTACTGAGACTCGTAAGCTCCAAATCCCTCTTATTACAATTTCCAGTATTCTGTCATGCTTATTCGTGTTTCAGAAACAAGCTCTGCGGAGGGGTGCAGTGGAGGAGATCACAACCTCAGACAGGCCGCAGTGTTCAGGGTCATGCCTGTGACATAATTAGGAGGAACATTTGCCCTGGCCCCTCGGCAGGCTGTGCTCTGCTTGGCCTGTTTTGTGAATGCAGCAGGGGTCCCCCTCCCGACTCCTGAATCAGAGCGACAGGGGCGAAGGCCCAGAGGCCTTCCTTGGCTCATGATTTTGGTCTTGTTTTTCAACAAGACTTTGAATCTGGTGATTCCACTTGCTGTATTTCACAGCAGGAAACGCATGGAGAAGTCCCAATGAGGTCAAGGAGCAGTCAAACCAGAAGGTGACGTGGAAAACCGATCTGAACGTGAAGAAGGCAATGCAAGATGCATTGGAAGACCGTAGGGAAGGATCAGGTGAGTGGTTCACTTTTGCCTGGGAAAGAATGAAGAAAAGGATAAAGAGAAGGTGGCAGAGGTGCAGCAGAAGAGGGCCAAGAGAGGAGGACCAGGTGGCACAAGAGGAGGGGGAGAGAGAACTTAATCTGCTCAAGTTTCAGACTGGGCAAGGGTCTTTGTTGCAGGAAGTTTACAGACTTCCAGATTCAAATCTGGAGTGATTTTGCCTAAGGAGAAACTCTCACTACCCGCCAAAAACATGTGTCATCTGAACATGGGAGGTGTTGGTAAGATTGGGCAGGTGCCTTAGAGAGGACCTCTGCTGAGCGTCGTGCCTTCTTAGCTCCGGAATCACAAGATCTGCAAGAGCATTCACCTGCGCCCACCAGCGTGCACGTTCTGCCGGCCTCCCTCAGTCAACCCACCTGGCCGCCCTAGGACCCCGGCACCCCTGGCCCTTTGTTGCAGGCTGACATCTGCCCCACCAGAGTCAACTGTCAGCGCCCTGCACGTGAATGAGGGAAAAGGTGTAAGCCGGGGTTCCATCCCTTCCCAGGGGTCCCTTCCAGCTTTCGCCTAGCTCCGGAGCATCCACCCTTCTCAGGTCCAGGGTGTGCGTTCCCAGGGATGCTCGGCCCTCTCCTAACCCGCGGCCTCCTCCCCTTTCTCCCGCTGCTGCGGGTGCTGCCGCGAAAACCAGGAAAAGTGGAATGCGCGCGGCGAAGCGCCGCTCTCGCGGCGGCACTGGGCATGCTCGGCACCTGGGGCCGGTTTCGGCGGCGGGGCGGACGCTCGCTCACTAGCCGGGCGCCTGGGCCGGCCGCCGAGGCTTAGGTGGAGGCTG